GTGTACACACGATAACCGTTGATTTTATTTTGAAATCAGAAGTTTCAGAAAGACGACAGCGAGATAGTTTCAACATAGACACCAAAAGCCTTTATATTGTTGTTTTCAGCTGTGTTTGGAGTTTATCTTTCACAGAATTAATTATTTTTTGCTGTGACTTCCACACTTATCACTGAATTTATCGCGCGATCTGCTTCCTGCACGTCTGTCGGACCGGAGCAGAGGTAGTGTAAACTGGACTTGAAACGCACAGCTGCGACCTGCGCAACAGAGCGGAGCGGAGACGGAACGCAAGTAGTGTATATTAGGGGTTAGCTTTTTTCCACATCTATCTAGTGCAAGGCTTTTCAACTAAACTGCTCCAGGGGCCACAGTTACTGCAGGCCAACAGCTCAGAGGCCAAACATCCAGKAATTAAAGTCATTACGTTAATAAAACAAGTATTACAAAGATCAAATGACAAATTTTGATCACTCGAGGATGAGATGTGGCCCGCCAGTCGAATAGCCCTGGTTTAGTGACTTCTAATGAAAAGCTGATTTTGCTGCATTCCAATCTCCTTTCAATTAATTTATTACATTTGTCTGAATACAGCAAGCATTTTCAAGGAAACAGTGACCTAAATCCTGATTTTGTTGATCAGAATTTACTAAAATGGGTTATTTTTTCCCCCAATTGAAACCTAGAAAATTGCTAAATTTCTTTCAATCGGGGAATCCTGCAGAACACTTTTAAAGTTCTGGATCTAGATTAATTTACGCATCCATTTCCAGCAATAAATCTGACTACTTTMTTTAATTAAAGTATTCGATGTTTAGTTTATTGTTGAGCAGGTAAAGAAAAATTATTTTTGTGACAACATGTTTGGACACCCATGCATTAGATCATAACTGAACGTGTTGATGAATTATTTTACAGTTTACTTTAAATCTGTGCAACAATAAATAAACTTTGCACAAAAATGAAGTAAATTTGTTTGTTTGATCTTTTCTCTGTTGTAATAATGCTGCCTGGCAGAACCTGGAGGGAACTGAGGCTCAAAACAAGAATCAATAAAAAAAAATCAGCTGTTTGACAAAAAGGTTTGGATAATTTTTCATGTGCACAACCCACATGCTCAGCTTTACTAATCCTCCCACAAATGCATGATCCTTGCAAATGTGACACCATTTGAAAGAAAAATGAACAGACTTTCCAACGATATAAGATTTTGCAGCACAATGGCTCAGTGGTTAGCACTGACGCCTCACAGCATTAAGGTCCTGGGTTCAATCCCTGGTTCTGACCTGGGGTCTATGTGTGGAGCTTACGTTTTCCTCGTGCTTGTGTGGGTTTTCTCCGGGTACTCCGGTTTCCCCCACCCTTAAAAACATGTACAATAAGTTGCCTTCAGGCCCAGGCCTCTCTTACAAAGGATATCTGCGATCTCAATGGGACTTGCCTGGTTAAATAACGGTTTAAAAAAATAGATTTTTTTTCCCAAGAAGCTTTGTTACAACAATAAAATAATCAAACACAAGTTTATGTACTGTTTGTGCTGAGTTTATATATTTTAACTGAATCATTGGCACCCTTAGGATAAGTTATTTACATAAATATTAATGTTTTACATAAAAACCTTTTTTATATTAAGCAGTGTTGTATAAAGTACCACAAAGTGATACTTGAGTAAAAGTACAAGTATCTTACCAAAAACTTACTTTGGTAAAAGTTAACGTCTACTTTAGGAATATTACTTGAGTAAAAGTCTTAAAGTATGTGATATTTGTTGTAGTTAAGTA